TCGGTGTAAATCTGGTAGACCCAAGTTCTTAATTTAGAAAATTTGAGATTGCCTGATCACGCAGCGGTCCTTTTAAACGCGTGAGGGGAGTGATACTGCTCATCCTTCACACCTAATGGACGACATATTTAACCCTTGAATATATAATTCATGCAACCGCGAAACTCTTCCCTTATTTGTTACTCGATGCATTTTGCTTCGCTCTGCTAAAACTGTGCTATTCTTTACCTATTACATGTTTCGAACAGACAACACAGCCCCGATACAAGCGATACCTAAGGTAAATTCCGTTTCAGGGAAACACATCCATATGTGTTTCCCTGAAACGGAATTTACGGAACGTATCGGAATTTACCTTAGGTACAGATCTAAAATCTCTTGACATCAGTGAAATGCAGATTAAACGTTCTACATATAGTTGTCAGTGCAATTTTAGCTATCTTTACAAAAACTGGGTCGCGAGGCTTTAAACATCTTCCAATATATTTATTGTCTCACCCTGTAATAGATATGGTATCAGACAGAACTCCGAAGAACGAAACCCTATCTGGTTATTTACGTTATTTTGCGCGTTGGATGCCTGGTGACACGTAGCCGCTAGCATCAAATAGATAGATAGATAGCAGTTAAGGATTCTCTACAATCTTCAAGTTGAACTAGTCCATAACTCTGGCGTACAAATAGACCATAAAATGTAAGAACATCATCTGCCGAAATCCGACATGGCATATGCCCTGCACGAAAATTGCCCAGTCGATGAACCTTTTATACAGGCATTGGAAGACCGTATCGAAGGAAAGCGAGGTTCCCAATGAGGAGCTTATACCGAAACTACTTCATGGAACTCAGAACTGAGGTAGTGACCTTCAAACCCAGACGGCGGGCCGAAAGGATAAAGAAAGAGTCTAGCGCATGGTTTACTCCAAGGGAAGGTATGTATCGCCTGCACTGATGTGGCCAGCATTGATCCCAGCCCACAGCTCAGGAACGCCAACTTCTCCGACTGTCTCTACCTGTACTTATTCATGATGACGCTTCCGAATAAGTCAGTGTCAGTGGTGTGCGTCAGCTTAGCGGAAGTGGGGTAATGAAATCAGCTTTAATTCCTGCAGCTCAGGTACACTGATTCCTGCACAATTTTCGGCACAAACCTGGTCTTTAAATGAAACCACACAGCCAGAAGTCAAATGGAGTCAGGTCCGCCGACCTGGGAGTCCCCTCGATAGGCCCGACCCGTCCCATCCACCTGTCTTCAAAGCAAAATAACGTTTCACTTTAGAAAGATTTCCTTCACAGATAGAGAAGAAATTAAACGATGGCGACACGTTCCTCCAAGGAAAGTTTATCGGCATTGTCAAAAAACCATTTGGAGAAGCGAAAGCTAACAGAAAATAACTGCGAATAGTGCGTCCGTTGTACCCTAAATATCAGTTTTATGTTGAAAACTGTTACGTTCGTTTTGTGTCGAGTCACCCATATCTTACTAGTATTTCATGAAAATTTCCTTGTTGTTTGATAAATTAATGCACTCTCTTTCATATGCAAAAAACCTTTAATAAATTAATGCCTTCCTTACCAAGTTATACGAGGGGCCGTCAAAAAGTCTTCTTAATTTCTCACTCATACGCATGATGGAACACAGGTTTCGCTAGTACAGCTTCTCAACAGAGTCCCCCTCAATGTTCATACACCTTTTCGCCGATGTGGGAGCCTCTAGAGGCCATCTGTGATCCACTGTTTCGGTGTGTTTTGCATCCACGCCAGACAGCTTTCTGTAACTGCACTACTGCTACTCCACGATGCAGATCCAGATGCCTTTTTTTTTAAGACTCGTTACCGCCGATGAGACTCGGTTTCATCCTTATGAACCAGAGACGAAGGCACCATCGAAGCAGTGGAAGAATTCAAGCAGCCCACCTCCCACGAAATTCAAGACAACTCCGACCGCTGGAAAGCAAATGCCCACCGTGTTTTGGGGCTATCGCGAATCACACTCATCTATTGGTTTCTGAAATGTCAGATGATCAACAGGGACGCATATTTGACCACCTTGACATGGTTATTGGTGCGCCATGGCAGAGTTATTCAGAAGGAGCGCCGTGGCAAATGAGAGACAAAGGTACTACTTCAGCATAACGCTCGTTCACACACAAGCAGACAGACAACGGAGGCAATTGCCAGGCTCTGCTTCCAGACATTCCAGCATCCCCCATACTACCCTAATTTTGTCCCCAGCGATTGCTGGTTGTTTGCCAACGAGTCCTTGTGGGGACAGCCCTTTCCCGCCACGGAGGCTCAACAGAAAGCTGTCTGGCGTGGATGTAGAACACACCGGAACAGTGGACCACAGGCGACCTCTAGAGGCTCCCACATCGTTGAAAAGGTGCATGAACATTGAGGAGGACTGTGTTGAGAAGCTGTATTAGTGAAATCTGTGTTCCATCATGCGTATGCGTATGAGTGAGAAATCGCAAAGACTTTTTGACCGCCCCTCGCTCAAAGTCGTCCAGTGACCTTTCATTCATCCTATATTTCCCATCTGACGAAAACTGTGTCTGAACGTACTCGAAAGATTCGAGATGACAATTACTTTAAATTATCTGTTTTTTTTCCGGTAGTGATAACAATTCCTGAGAGCATTTATATGTATAGTGTTGACTCGTTGGAAAGGAATGTCCCTATCACAAATCCTCCTTCAAATGCCCCCCCCCCCCTGTTCAACGATATTTTCCAATTAGCACGACTCATCATTTCAATGGAAGACAAAATTATTAACCGGAATCACTCCAGAAACTTTGGCTGTGTCCCAATCGAGCCGAATCGAGTTCCGTTCAAGTGAGACAACCCTTTCAAATTTGGAAGGCATCCTCCAAAGAATACAGGTCGCCTTCCGTAATAAAATAACCTCAACTTCCCCCATAATCCCCGAATTCCGAGAGAATTCCAATTTGCAGCATTTGAAGAACGAATCGAGAAGTGAAGGATGCCATCGGGACCTAAGGTGTTAACTTTTACTGAATCGACTTATGGGTCGGGTCGTGAAGGCGTTTACAATAGGATTTAATGTTTACAGGACTTCGGGTCGGGTGCAGATCGAGACTCGGATCGGATCGATTGGGCGTGGGGCTAGAAAATTCTGGCCTCATCGATTTCCTTTTCTTATTACGGATGAGTCGTTCAATTTATTTATTGGGGGTTTCCCAATTGACGCGTAGCAATTCGCAGAATTTTTCCACGTCGCCAAGCGATCGAAAGGACCGTCGTCGATCGTCCGACGACGACGACCTTCGACTAAAAAAAAAAAAAAAAGGGCTACCTGCATGTGCTTGGATCCCGCTTGCGCCGGATCGAACCCGATCGATCGCATCCCCCGATCGAACCCACATATTATAATAATAACTTTTTTAAATTTTATTTCTGAGCTTGGAAAGATGAATTGCATCGACAGTCGCTTGCATTCGGATGTCGTCAAGATTGAAGACAGTCGTCCAATCTGCCGACATTTGATGTAGCGACGTCGCGACCGAATTTCGCTTTCGCGTCGCTCGATAAGAAACAGCTGAGGTAATTATGTCTGTTTGGTGGAACATCAATACGAATTCGATCGCACGCGTCCGACTGAGTCAAATGAATTACCAATGAAATACGTGGAAATATTCCTTTTCGAGTGGAAGTCATTCGGCGCTCACTGGGAAAAATCTCGAGCGGGATTAATGCATTGCTGCGTCATTGAGTGCAGAAAATTCGGGTCAGGTCCTTTCTCGAAAGCTAATAATTATCTATTTCAATTATCCGTTTTGGGGGTATCAGGTGCTCGTTGGAAAAGTTTAGCTTCGCAACTTCAGAATGCGCTAGTGAAATAATTAAAAGAAATTTTGATTTTTAAAAATATTTCCTTGAATGATGACGGCGCGAGGGAGCTATTTCATTTCGTGAGGGATAATCATTTTCTGAATTTTCATTTTACTTTCAACATCTGACGAAAGGAAGATGAGGTTACGACACGGCGGTCGCCCTACAGCGTAATAAGTCGGGTGCCTGTGTGCTATGCAAGCTATGCAATCCCAGGCAGAAACGACTTCGTCGGCTGTGGGCCTTTCATCAAGAAACAACTACGCTCCCTTTTTCCTTATCATGCACCAGCAAGTCCACGTTCCTCGCTCCGCGGCAGCAACCCGAGAACGAAGCCAAAAACGGGGAGGCTTCATTCTGAAAGAGGCCCGAGCCATCCAAGCATCCACCGATGTTCACACATCCTCCAACAGAGCCCAACCACAAAGCCCATCGCCATGAAATCGGTCCTCCTCGCCTGACATCCTCCGCCTGCAGCTAACCGCCCCTATCTCCCCCTCCTCTCCGATGCAATCGGGGTCGCTCCCGACCTTCAAAAATGAGCGGATCACGGCCGACCTTGAATTCCTCGCGATTTCGCTCCAAATGCTATCTGCCTCGTCATCGACCTTGGCGGCTTTCATTGCGAATCGTTGCGTTCTTCGGCATCCACGATAACGACCGAGTCGAATTAATGATGAGGGCGACAAGACGACGAAAATAATGATGATGGAAATAATTAATAATGAGGGTTTTTCTGATATGGAAATGTCCGATTATAATCTTATTTATTATTTTATTTATTTATCTATCGTGAGAGAACGAGAACGCCGGCCAGGGTGCAATCGAGCTCGACTAAGCGACAGGTTTTTTTCTGCATTTCTGAGACAAACTAGGCGAGTTACCGATAAGAAATGAAACTAGATTGCAGGAATTAGCGTCGCAAAAAGCGGGGAATCGGGGAGACGAGAGGAAGTGCGAAACGCAAACAAGGCCGATCCGCACACATCCCGATGAAACGGATCGATATGGAAGTGGGTCATCCCCCCGATTACATCACGGCATCATCCGCGGCGTGACCTTTACCACGGGAGAAAAGGGTCCACACGGGAGAAAAGGGTCCACACGGGGGAGAGGATAAAGGGAGCAAGGTCGGAAAGGGGGGGAGCATGGTGGCAGACGAATGCGGGAATTTTCACTGTCATGACACGAAAAACCCACGAGGATCTGGTGACATCCAGGCCCGACCCCCATCGCCGGTCCTCACTCGGTTGCCAGTCCTCGCTCGGTCGCCGGTCCTCGCTCGGTCGCCGGTCCTCACCGAGTTGCCCTTTTGCCTCGCCTCGTTCCTCGTCGGGATGGACGTCCTGCTCTCCCTCTTCTCACTTCTCCTCCTCGGTGAGTCCCGGCGATTTCTGACGGGATTTTGCCAACATTTTTGCACGAAAGATGCAAAATTCCTCGAAGCCGATCCGTCCGGTCGCTCACGCGGTTCGTCCTCGCAGGTGAAAGTCGACCTCTTCGGTAAAGGTCCCCCATTGCAAATGGCGCGAATCCATTTCCTCGCATCAATTCTCGTCGATTCTTTCGTAGGTTTTTCAACGTCTCAATGAGACCGCGGCGAGAATTCCGCGGCAACTTCATTTTTTTTCCCGTTTTCTCGAGCGATTGCAACGCGTCTCATTTCCATTTTTTCCCTTTTTTTTTCCATTTATTCATTCAGTCGTTCGATCGGCTTTCCTCAGTCGATCATCGGGATTAAGCGGTTCTCGTTGAGCCCGTGGGAGCAAGCAACGCCTTCAAAAACACATGCGGCACAAACTGACTGTGAAAAGTACGAAGTCGTGAAGAAGCAAATGTGTTTCACAGAAATTTCCTATTGTCAAAATTCGAGTCGTGTTTCCACCGGGATTCAAGGGCATGAGAGAAACATGTTAGCCTTGAACGATACAGAAATAATAATAAAAGTACCGGAGAGGAACATGGACGCGTGGCACATGCGAAGCACATGCGAAGCACATGCGAAGCACATGCGAAGCACGTATGAAGCACGTATGAAGCACGTGTGAAGCCCAATCCGAGTACCACGTGTACGGAAATTCCCGTACGGGCGCGGGAATCCCAGATCGATAATATTACGAGGAGAAAAGCGCTTCGAGGTGACAGCGCACCGCGTCGCTCGAGGCACATCCATTCTTCCATGCCGTCCGACGGCATTTTTTTACGTTCACGAAAAATCTTTTGCCGTGGAGAAGGGGATCGCGTTTTCCCCGCAAGAGTTCGCGGATTTTACTCGGGTGGTCCATGCGTGTTTCCTCCTCCTCGTGTCGAGGCGTCACTCGGTCGGCAGGATCAACTTCAATCGAAACCGTTTTGTCGTGGCTCGTGTTCCTCTCGATGTGCCGCGGAAAAGCCTCGTCGAAGCCGTCGGCCGAAGTTGAGTCTGAACGCGTTCGTGCAGGCTGGAAGGCGCAAGGAAAAGCCGAGCAGCTGGTGGAACTCATCGGCTCGGACTCGACGGGATCCCCCCCCACCGGCACGGAATTCCCCCCGACCGGCACGGAACTGCCGGAATTCCCCCCGACCCACGGCGACAACTGCACCGACCGGGCCAGGAGCATCTTCGACTCCTGGAGTCCCCGGAACGCCAAGATCGTCGGGGGATCCGTCGCTCCCTACGGCCAATATCCCTGGCAGGTAAGTACCGATTCGCTTTAAACACGATTTAAATTTTTTTTTACTGGAACCAAATCTGCGCGAATTCGATGCATTTGTCGATCCCTAAAGACAACGGTTTCTGGGGCAGACCATGGATCGATTTCCACGCGATTCGCTGCTCCGTCCTTGGCCCCGATGCTCCGCCTCCATTTTCCCACATTTCCTCCGGCTTGTGCAAGTCATGCGAAAATTTCTCCGTCTCGGATCTGCATTTGCGGATTCTAAGTGATCGATGAGCTCGCAATTTTAGACTTGGATTTTCGTCTGTGGATCTGGTTCGAGGTGACAGGCACGAACTCTGATGCTCCGCTGTCTTTAGAGCGATTTTGTCCTTTAAAAAAAATGCCCAGGCCCTGTAGGAAGCCCTTTGCCTTAGGCATTTTCTCTTTGCTTTTCCTCTCGCGGCTTCCATGTCATATGATGCTTGCCAAGCTCGTACAAAGTACGCATGCACACTTCGCGGGGAAGCCACAGGAGAAGATGGAATTCTCATAAAGGCTGCACGAGAAATGACGACCTCAACGACGAAAGCTCACGTAAGGCTTCCACGATTTCGTGGTTTCCGGCAGCACTGCCTCGCCATTCAGCTCCAGTGCAGGAAAAAGTTTTCATACCAGAGAAACCCGAAAGCTACACGCGACCAGAGGCATTTTAGCGTCTACGATCATTGTGGAATCCCCCATTTCATGATCCGAATAACGTCGACAGAGCTTGCTGTTCACAGCTGACTCGAGAATCATTCATTGCCAAACTTTTGATGGGCCGCTCTGTGCTCTCCGGGTTCTGAAAGTCTGTTCTGCTCTGTTCTGAAAGTAAATTATGGAACAAGGCTCCGTTCTCTCGCTTTGCTTTTGAAAAGTCCCGAATATCTCGATTCTGCCGGTTTTATGACTTTTTCCGACAGTCTGACTCGATCGTCGTCTATTCCATGGACTAGACGACAATAAAAGTGAAATCCCTGCAGTCACACCAATCATCTCTCTTTGCCTTTCTGTCTTTGGTATCGGGGTCAAGTACGTTCAAAATGTTACTTGTACCTCGTAGATTCGACATGTTCAGCGCTGGAACTTTTTTTTTCCCGTTTTAATTATTTAAAACCTCCTTATTTCCCCTGGATGAAAACGGACTGGAAAAGAATGATATTTTCCCTATATTTCACGACTGGCTTCAAGAAGCTTTAATCAAATATGGAACGAGTCTGCAAACTCCATCCCCGGAAATTTCACGATGAGGGTCCCAAGCTCGGGAAAGAGCCTCATGCGGCGGACATCGAGCTCAGTTTCTCCTCTATCCCCTCGGAAAGATTCCCATCGTGGACCTAGTGAAGGGACAGACCAGCACGGAAACCCCCCAGTCAGTCCAGGCTCGTTCAGCTGCGCACATGCGTGGAAGATTCATGCCACATTCGCTCTTATTTTCATGCACCCCGACTCGCTGTCTCTGTATAAACAGAGCATGGGAGGTGATGCCCGGAATAACAAGAAAACAAGACTTCGGGAAGTGAAAATAGGTTCCGAAGTCATCCAACACTCAAATTAGATTGATTCCACAAGTCCATACCATAGATGAACAAAAGCATTCCAACCCACACTGAGCCATCCATGGGAACAGATGCTTATTCCATGCTTAGAAACTCCTGTTTCGACTCTCCATTGGCCACTTTTTGCTCTTGCTTTTACTGTTAACAGCAAGGCAAGGCGGAAAACGTCCATAGGTGTGATTCACCTCAATTTTTACCGTCGCATGGGTGCAGGGATTTAGTAAACAGACGGAATGGAGAATTTCGCTCCCTCTTGTTCTTCATCGAGGGACTGCTCTGTACTTGCCGTTGGATCGAGGTTCCCAGCTAGCGCAGAAGAAAAATATCCTGATCGTGAAGAAAACAAGTTTGCAAATGCCTTAAATCCTCTTGCATTTCCACAAGCAAACGGCTTCAAAGTCTGCCATGAAAAAAAAAAAATTCATATATACGAAAAACCTGAGACTTTCGTTAACTCGGAACGCCTCCTCCTCCCCCCAGGCCGAGATCCTCCTCTACAGCCGCTCGGAGAAGCGCTGGAAGCACCACTGCGGCGGCGCCGTCATCACCCCCCGCCACATCCTCACCGTCGCCCACTGCCTCCGTCATTCCTCGGACCAATACTACCGCGTCCGCGTCGGGGAATACCGGCTCCACGCCTCCGACCCCCACGAGCAGACCGTCAAGGTTCAGGCTCGCGTCATGCATCCGAGATACCGCGTCGGTCAGTTTCTCTCGAGATCTATTTATGTATTTCTAGAGCGCATGCATAATATGTATTTTTTAAATTATGATCGATACTAATTGCCGACTAAGTTTGGGCAAACCGTGGTGTAATAATCTCATCGCTGAAATAAACACCAAGAAGGAGTCATCGATCTGGATGAAATTTTGCACGAAAGCTCGTATCAGCGTGTCACGAAATCGATTCGAGTTTCAGTGAAAGGACGAACATTCGCAGAGGAAACTAACCATATTCTCGAAATAAAGTGAGAGAGGGGGTCGCATTCGTCGCCCATACCGAACGACCAGGAGGAAAATTGGAAATAAATGCGGAACGGGAACTCTTCATGCCGTGAAAGAAAATCCAGGAAAGTCTCAAGGTCATTGCTTGAGGGGATGCGGAGAAAGCATGCCGAACGGAAAAGGAATGGGGGAAAAGGGCGGCGCCACTGATGATGCCAAATCCCCTTTTTCTTTTAACCTTGAGCCCCTCGTTGCTACTGAATGGTCGTTCAGTGGCAACCTGTGAAGCCATGGTCGTTCAGTGGCAACCTGTGAAGCCATGGTCGTTCAGTGGCAACCTGTGAAGCCACGCTGAAGTAAATTCTTTGACGGCATTCTCGCCATCTAGTTCCAACGTTGAAGCGTCTTCGTCCCTGTAAAGGTGATGCGGGATCTTTCCAAGGAATTGTTGCACGCACCAAGGATGACGCATCACGACCGCGATTCACCCGACATCTCTCTTCTGTCGCGGAAACCATGTTTGTTTGCTTAAACGCCAGATGGCAGAGCTGTCGATCGGTTGAGACGGCATTTCATTGCGCAATTTATGGCATACAACATCTGACCTCGAGCACCGATTAGCTCGACCCTATGAACATGTTTATTTTACTCTTCGATGGCCACCATGACGTCAGTGGACGCGATTAGATAATCTCATTCCCTATTGCGAAAATAAGGAAAACGGTACGTTGGAAAGATTCATCCCATCAATCCTCGAACGCTGAGGAACGCGTGCGCAAAACTTCGCTTCCCAGTATCAAGCCTTTTGGCAGATAGACCGCTAAGAAGAGCACAGACACGCGAAGAAATGGAATTATCAGCGGTATTGAAGGCCTTTTTCCCCCTGCAACCGCATGCCGAACCATCTCGAATGCGACTCCCTTCCCGGAAAACATTCTAAAGAGAACGGGCTCGAGGGAACTCGTCTGTCTCGAGCATTCTCCTCGCAATGCCCATTCCGCGAAATTCTTCTCGACGCCGAGGGAGAGACCAGATTGCATTCAGCGGTCGCCGTGCCGACTCTTCAGTCATCGAGGCAACTCGACCGCATGTCGTTCCACGTTCCTGATGGCACGAGACTGGGTTCAAAAATCCCAACTGTTTTTTTTAATTTTTTTTTTTAAGTATCACTGTCGGGTTTCGTTTGACGTGCCGTGAGGTTTAATCCTTCTCTGATTCTTCGGAATTTTGATTTAGCATCTTCTCGCCCTCTCGTCTTCGCTTCCTCTCATTTTATTTTCCTCCCATTCTATTCTTTGTTGCCATCGTAAGCAGGAAAATGCCTTGGAATCCTCCCACGCAAACCTATTTTCCCCTACCGAGAAACCGAACACTCATTAAATAATGCACGTAACGCGAGAGACATCACGACGTCGTGGATCTCGCCCTAAGCACTCTTTTCCGACGATGTTAAGCGATGCCATTCTCTCAGGGGGGCCCTACAGCAACGACATCGGGATGATTTTGCTGTCGGAGCCAGGCCTCGCCTTCAACAGCCACGTCGGATCCATCTGCCTCCCGGAGGGGACGGAGGAATACCTGCCGGGGACTCAGTGCGTCGTCACCGGATGGGGACTCAGAGACCGTATGCCTCTTTTCTTTCGTTGGCGAGGGGGAGGGGTGGGGAGGGGGGATGCAATTTTCTTTTTGAAAAGTTCCTTGTTCTCACTGAAAGCATCGGAGTCCAAATTCATTTCTTAAATAAAATGTTCAGTGGCGTTAAATTTGAAAATGCAGGTAATGGGTGGATTTTTTTTTCATGTTTGGCGTTCTACTCGAAAAAATGTTTCCGTTCACCTCGTCGAGCCTCTTCCCATCGGTGCAAATGGACTTGACGTTCTCTCGGATGCCTGTTGCAGCTGAGGACTCGCGGAGTCTCTCGCGGACCCTGCAGATGGCGCCGGTGCCGCTCATCTCCCAGCGGAAGTGCCGCGAGCCGGAGGTGTATGGGCTCAGGAGCCAGCGGATCACGGACGGGATGGTCTGCGCGGGGTACATGCAGGGGGGCGTGGACGCGTGCGGGGGGGACAGCGGGGGTCCCCTCGCCTGCCTCGTGGGGCGTGAGTGAACACGATTTTCCGTGTCTTTTTGTGAGGTGGAGGATGGGTCGGTCGGGTGACTCTCGTCTCCATAGATTCCATCCGTTTCTTCATCTGTATGCTATTATTCGAAATTTGGTCGTTTGTAATGATTTTGTGGAGAAACGTTGAGCTCCGATGCTTCGAAGAAGCATCGGAGTAAATTATGTACGTTTATACCAATAAGGAGACCGGACGAGAGACCTTCTCGTAATGAAGTCCAAGTTAAAAAGCTCAAAACTTCACAGTTGTGCAGAGCCCATTGCACCATGACCTCATGACGACATTTTGCGTTCTCCCCACTCCAGGGCAAGTGAGACTGGTCGGACTCGTGTCGTGGGGAGACGGCTGCGCCCAGACGAACCGGCCCGGAGTCTACACCAAAGTGGGACACTACCTCCCCTGGATCCAGGAAACGATCGACGCCCTGTGATATGTGATACGTTAGCACCTCGCGTTCGCGGTGGGCCTTGAGGCGTGGGTACTCGCTTGTGATAATTTGGAACACGACCGTCCTTCCAGAATGAGCTTTCCGTCCTTCATTTTGAATCACCGATGACGCGTACAAGCTTGCTCTATCTGGTACGATCCGCTGGGGTCTGTCGAAAATTACGATCTGAACCTTTACTCCTAAAAAAAAATATCTGGCATTACTGATGAATCGGCTCGGATGGACGAGGTAAATATTTGTCCAGATCTCTGAAGGAATGCTTCATTTTTCGTCGCGATTCATTTCTAACCGATTAGGAAATGTATGACCCGATGCCACCGTAAACCCTCATAAGACATGTACCCTGGAAGGGATTCTTGCATTTTGCATTTTCTTTCCTTGTTTTTTTTTTGGACGCGTTTTCACACGATTCTCACTCTGATTCGCGACAAACGGTTTTCTTCCGTCAACATCAACTGCCGATCACCTCGACGATTCGGGGCCGAATAGTCTCAGGAAACCACATTTCATGATTTATTGCTAAATTCCAAATATATATATGTATTTTCCGTGATGGCAAACCTCTCGTTTTTCTCCATGGTGCAGACACAATCAAGTCCAGATTCATCCCCTCCTCCCTTCGACCCTCCCCTCCCCGCGGCCCTCTCCTCCCTTCGGCCCTTCCCTCCCCGCGGCCCTCTCCTCCCTTCGGCCCTTCCCTCCCCGCGGTCCTCCCCACCCAGTAATCTCAGAGCGTGGACGTACTGGCAGAGCGTGAGAGGAGACTCGGGGAAATGGAGATGGATCGACCTTTCCTCACGCAGAGGCTAGAAAGCGACAAATAGAGATAATCGGCCTCGTATGGAGCGAGCGCTTATCTCGGATTCCGTCGTCCTAAGCCCTCGACGTCCGTAAATAAGAAACTTACGGTTGACTCAACCGTGAATCACCCATGGAATTGGGTTCAACGGAAACATCAACGGTGATTCGGTGGTGACCACTGTTGAATGAATGTTGAAAACCGGCGATTCGACCGTGAATCACCGTCGACCGGCGTTTTCGATTTAAGCATATTGAGCTCGTTTTGTGAGGGCATCTCCCCAGACCACGGAAAGACTACGGACCACGTGTGGACAGATACTGGAGCAGAGTTGATTAATGTTCGCTCGGGCGAGAGAGGGAATTAGTTGTCCCCGGCCGGCCGACAGCTTCATCCAATGGCGATCCATCAACGCTCGGGTTCCTATGACCCTCGGGAAGGGAAATTGGGCGCCATTCGGATCTACGGGCAGAATGGCGGCTTCTCGAAGCGATCCTCGAACGGTCGGATTCGGTGCCACTGGGGATACCAAGCGGCTCTCTCGTCCCATTAAATGGTGACTTCGACGCTGGAGAAGACGAACCCAGTCGAGAATTATGGTCGGCTTAAGGTTGGGCCATAGATGGGGAAGTTGGCGGAAGGTCAGGCAACAGTCGGGTTAGCCGCTCATCGATGCCCCATCCATAAGCCACCTATGAAGTATCTTCCCATAAAGGTTACGCAGCAGTTGCGACCTACTGACACGTGACCGTGCACGAGTCGTTCACGTAATGCACAATGCTTTTCTCTCGACTTCGAGTCTCGACTTCGTGTCGAAGATCGATGATCGACTCAAGTGGAAAACACAATAGGATATATTATATCTACCTCATGCCGATGGGGAAATTGATAAGCATTCGTCTCATGACTAATTCCTACTCTGCAAAATCGATGCGTCCTGGAAGAATGAAGAAACTCCCATCGCGATCAATAACTAAAGAACAGATTATATCGTCACGGTAAGAGAACATAGAGAAGAGCACGCGGTCCCGCTAGGGCTGATCGACCTCCAGAATGACCCATGACCCGTGCTTGCCGTGTCAGCCGCTAGATGTCTCTAGCGAGCCCGGATGTTTTCCGATTCTAGAAGTGCAAGGAACTAAAATCTAAGCTTACATCGCAGAATAAAGATTACATGGAAGCCATTTATACCCGAAAGCCATCAAGAAATTATTTTCGTATATCTATTTCTGGGTCCCTGCTCAACTCGTTCGGAATGGCCCCTGGTCATGACAAAGTCTTGCATGAAGCTCATTGGCGAGGCGGTCCCCGTGAGGACATTCGGGGAGCGCGTGTCCAAGGGAGAGATCAAATAATTCAAGTGAGGTTTCGTCTTAGTCCTAATAATGATTTAGGCTCATTGGGAACGGTTGGCCTCCTTGACCAGCGGGTAAGAGCGGTAGATCATGTTTAAATTATCCAATTGTGGAGAGTATTGTGTGTATTAGGTAGCCAGAGTGGAGAATGGGGGTGGGAGCGAATTAGAATGTGGAAATTACTACTGTGGCATCGAGGGGTGTTCATGGTGGTTGCATTCGTAAAAGGTTGGCTTACGAGTGGCACAGTTGCAGTCCATACGTGGTCAGAGTCCTATGTCCTATGGGTCCTATGAGTGGTCCTATGGGATGGTCAGAGAAGGTCGGCCCGAAGGTCGACCGACCCAGACACGACCGACTATAGCCAACCATAACCCCCCATAAGCCAACAATAACCGGCTGATGGCCCGTAGATGATGCATGGAAGCCTTTGAGCTTTAGTTGGCCCAACCAGAAATTTTTGACCGGGAAGTTACGCGAGGAGATGCGATCGGTCGGTTCGGACTAACCGCCCCGAACGAGAACGGCTGAAAGTTGCCGGGCGTTTGTGGTGTCGATTTCTGACCGTAACGAAGCGCATCGTACCGATCGCGATCGTTTCGGCAGACTTGTGGTGCTCCGTGGCGGATACGGGGCAGAAGCGTGAAGCTGCGCCGAGTGCTCATCACGAACTGGGACAAAGAGAGCTCCAAGAGGAAAAGGTGGGGGAAATCGGATTAATCCCCGTCTCCTGGATCATCCTCTCGTCTCCGTTCTGTAATTCCCGGGACTTCAGCGTCGAGGGATAAGAGGGAACGGGTGGAAGGGGGAAAAGGGGGAAAAGGGAGAAAGGAGTAAAGGGGGGAAGGGGGAAAGCGGGTAGGGAAGGCAAACTGTTCGATCGATCAAGTCTGAGCGCATTTCGTGAAATATCCTTGGGAGCGCCCGTATGCCCTCGCTTCATGCCCTCGCTCTATGCCCTCGCTCTATGCCCTCGCTCTCGATGCTGGGAGTGGAGATGGAAGGAGGCTGCTTATCATAATTATATTCACGACGGTGAGCTGATGGAGAGGAAGAATTTGCAAAGAGAATTTGCACATCCTTCCCCTTTCTTCTTTCTCGATCGATAAAACCTCGAGGTGCAATTGCGATTCGGATAGAGAACAATTCTTCTGCCAGCTTCCGTCGAACGCAAATAAACAGAATAAACAGCAATTTTTATGGGTCAAATTGGAAAAAATCACGTTTCAGTCCTCAAACTGCTGAAACTAAAGATCGTTATTTCTCTCGTTGAACCGAATCGAATGTCAAAGATCGATATCTTGCCAGAGCGTGAAGCACTTTTCCCAGGGCTTGCCGTAGCCAGTTGCTAATAATGAAAGTTCTAAAAAATTAAATAAAAGCCCGATGTGTCCGTTGGCCATTACATAAAATCGTGCAATGTCCAAAGCCATTACATGGTTTCATTGCTTGTCATTTCAAATGCCAACAAAATTAGAGTAACCTGCCCTTTTGCTTAAGAGTTATCATTCGGCTTCACGGAATTTAAGAAGGAAAACCTGAGTCCATGCGTTTCTGAATTGGATCCATTATGGAGGAAAATCGATTTTCCCTTTCCCGATTGCTTCAATGGTTGGGGAAATACGTGGTCCACGTGACCACGTGGTCGGAGTGGGAATTGCATTTCTTGGAGAGAACGACTCAGTGTTCTTTTCAATTCCGTTTTCCCCTTCACGTTTCTTTTCATCTTTGTATTGGAGAGCGGGATTCCAGTTTTTTACTCTACGTTTGAATTTTTTTTAAAAGATGAAGCATTCGTGAAAGGATGGATCTGTAATGTGTTCTGACAGTTGCATTCGTGAGTAATGAGAGATCCATTATTCTTCTCCTTATGATATGCAGACAGACGGGATATTCCTCTATGACCTTCACGACTCGCCTCATTTCGATCTCCGCTCGAACCCGCCACCCGCGGGAGGTGAGACACGACTCGGAGGAAGGGGACTCGGATGCTGCCGTCCCCACATGTTCCTTCGACCTGCTCGATGGACAGGTAGGCTCCAGGCGGAACCTCCACTTCTCCCTGGATCGTCGCGGATTTCGTCGTGACTTCGCCCTCTGCCATACTCCAGTCATAGCCCATTCTTATGAGAGACCCCGATCTTGCTTTCGAAAGGAAAACTGAGCCCTGCCTTGATCTCGGCTTGGATCGAGAGGCCGACGTGGACTCCGTGAGTCGCTGTCTCCCATATTTCCGTCCACACCCTATACCGGTACGAGCATTTTCTAGGCTCCGTCGAAGCCCTGCCATCGCTAAAGAGCATTGACTTGCCAGTGTTTTCTGTTCCCCGTCCTGATAGGATAGGAATCCACACAGACAACGAAGCGAATAGAGAAGTTTCAGGGCCCAAGGGAAATTCAATTTGTCCACTAACTCCACGTCGTAAGACTCATTTGTGTTGAATCTGCTCTTACAATAATGTTCATCCTGGTCTGACAACCACTTCTCAATTATAAAAATTCACGTCACCAGACCAAAAAGCAAGTCTTCAATCCTGACATATTTACTGCGAAAAAAAATCTCAGTAGACTCTACCACGTACGAAACTGGTGGATTTGATGAAAAGATCAGTATGGTGCAGACAAAAATCGTCGCCGATGTTCTCAGGGTGATTCCAGTCATCATATGCACCGGGTGAGTCACCACTCTTACAATGACTGGCTCTGACTGAAGAGATCGGAAGAAACACGAAAGGGGGCAAATATCTCTCTCATGGTAGGGCCGCGTATGTAGTATGCAACACTGTCGTCTCATTGCTTCGAGCTTTCTTACATCCTGTAATTTCACGATAAAAAAGGTGTTCCCGGGGTCTTTCATTCCTCGCGAAGAATTACGCATTAACAACGGCGACGAAAGTTCCTGTTTTCTCACGTAGCCATGCTGTTCTGGGAACCACCCGGAATCGGGTTATGTTATAGAAGAACTCGAATGACTTGAATATAGTATCAATTCTTGGCATTTTTAAACTCTTTTGCTTCGTTCGAGAAGGGATTTTTCTTGTTTTCCCCCGTTCAGTACGCTGATTCCCGCCTCAATCAGAGATTCACTCTTCATCATTCAAAGGTGCCCCGTTTTCAATTTCCCCGTTGCACTATCTTTTTAGGGCAATTGCCTTGCCGGATATGGGGAAATGTAGAGCATGATGGCTTCTTCTCCCCACCGGAAATCCGACTGCTCCGGAACATGGCACGCAGTCGATCCAAATACCCAGGATGCTGACAAGGCAGACGGAACGGATCGAAAGACGAGTTGTGCTTAGAATGCATTCGAGTCATCGAAGAGAGAGGGAGAGAAGGGTGCGTGGATCACGATCTTACAATTTGCAC